TATTATATTCACCATTTTAATTATTTTAATTACTAAACAAGATACTCTAAAACTTCCAAGATCACCAAACTTTCCTTTTCCCCACGACTTAAATCTGTATTTTTATTCAACCCAATTGTAAGTTGAGCTAATAAAGCCTGGTATCTGAATATCTGAATAGTACATTTAGATTTTGAAAATCCTCAATTGAGTGACTACCTGGAGTATATGAGAGGACTTCAGAAGATCCATAAATTCCCTGAAATTTTATGCAAGATCTTAAGTGTGCTTCTGGAAAGAGAATTCATTGCTTTCATCAAATGTGTTCCTGACCCTAAGCAAGTTTACCTAGTGCTGTAATAAAAAAGGCTAACTATACAGTACAATTGTCTCAATTATTTTACAATTCAGCTACAAATTGAGAATAACTAAATCTCACTAGACTTCTTCAAAATAAGACTGAGTGTTAACTGACAAACTATGATTTAGAATGAGTCTATTAATTTCTACAGATGATTAAAATATTATAAGGGGCCCTCCCTGGTGGTACAGTGCATTAAAGCACAGCACTAAGAAGCTAAAGCCACTTCAGCATGAGTTCAGTCCCTGCCCCGGAGGTGACCACATGGCGCAGCAGACCTCTCCTGACCTGCCTGCTGCTCCCCTCAGCAGTGTACTTGGTCAGTTAGTCTGTTCTGCTCCCCACTTTGTCTCTGGTGAATCCTCTCACTGCCCCTGCACCTCTAGCCTGTACCCCAGCTCTATACACATAAATAAATAAATATTTTTTAAAAAGAAAGAAAGAAAACAACTTTCTACAACTCAACTCAGTTTCACAAGGAGTCCATGGTATTTCCCATACTAGAATCCCACATTTCAAACAGGGCTAATGTTAAGCCTGTGACTTAAATAGGTGAAAGGCTCCATATCCCATTACTAAGCCCAGAGCCATGCAACCCCTCTGACCAGAGTGAGAAAAGCAGCAGGCCATCCCACACGTTTAACTTTATCATCTAATTGTGCTGAGGACTCTGTGCTTGTCTCTAGTAATATGTCAACAGTTTGGGTTTTTTTCCCTGTTGGCCACTGAGAACTGCCATTTGATTAGGAGTAAAGTGGAGAGAAAGGACATTAAGGAAAGATAGAGTTTTTTCCTCTCAGAAAAATAACAGCCCAAGTGAGGATTTGTGAAGAGCTTTCAAAGCAAATACCTAATGGGTGTAAATTCAGATGTTGAAAAATTGATGTAAGAGGAGAGATTCACAGATAAAGAAGGCCAGAAAGGACCTGGAGAATTTCAGCAGTGGGTTCCATTAGGACAACTCTTGAGTTCAGCTTGAAGTGGTTGTGAACTGTGGCTGTAGAATAGCAGGGAGGGACTGGTGAATGAAAAGGAAAAAGACATAAAAATACAAAAGTAAGGAAAAGTGAAGCTAAGCAGAGTGAGTCATCATGTTTAGCCAGAAGGCAGACTGCATACCTGTCAAAAAAGATAGGCTGTAAGAATAAAGCCTGTGTGATGTTAGTGTCTGTTTATTAACTCATTCATTTTTTCCTTCATTCAATACACATTTAGAGATCATGAACCATGAGACAGAAATTTTCTAGGTGCTGGAGGTTTTTCTTTGCTTTTAACCTGCAAAACCATTTGGGTGCATGTGATTCACTTGAAACAAATAGATGGATTAGGGAAAACTGAAATAGTCATCAATAAATTACATCAATCAGCCCAGAAACATTTCTGTTTGACTCTTCAAAAGCAGTTCATGTTTACTCTGCTGATTTTTTTGCCAGGTCAGTTTATCTGTTGGCAGTTCTCATAATTAAACCTCGCTTAATAAATCTACATTTGCCTCTCCCCATAGTAGCAGTTCCAATATTCCTAGCTGCATTAAGGATGCCCTTCTGCCAAATTATCAGGAAAGATTTTTCGAGAAGTGCATGTAGCACAAGTCAATAGAAATTATTTTTCTGCTGTTTCCGAAAAGCATGTGGTCTGTTCACACCCAAGTGAGCTAGTCAGTGGAAAAATTCTCCAAGTGAATCTGTTTTGGTTTTGATAGTCTTATTTTGATGCTTTGGAATTTTGAAGGCTGTTCCCTTCATGTGAGATTAGACAGTAGATTTTCAAAGAGAGCAGAGGATGAAGTTCTCTAGTGCTTCTATTTAAAGTTTCCTGTCTTCTCAACTTGCTATCAAATTTTCTGAGGGCAAGACTCAGCCACTACATGTGTGATCCTTCATTCTCTCTAATTCAACATTCATTAAGAAGCTTCCCTGTCGAGCATTTTTTAAAGTGTAGGGGCTGCAGAGATGAATGAGGTAGATCTATTTACCTCAGAGTGGAATCTTTTAGAAGAAATAACAAATACAGTTGAAGGCTGAGACCTCAAATCATTACTGGAATGAAGAAAGGGATAAAGAAGCACAGCAGTCATAGAATAAAAGTAGAGAACGTGAATGGCTCAGTTTTAGTTTTCAAGTGTATGATGAAAAGTCATGTGTTGAGAGAACTATTGGATTAAAATTAGCGTAAATCAGAAGCATGTGGAAAAAAGTGAGTAAGCCCAAATGTAGCGACTACTGAAAAGAAAGCCAAAACCTAGAAAAGGCAGAACCACCCCCCAAAAGGGCAAGTATGAAATGTTTTAAAAATTAAAATGGGCTTCATAGATAATATAGATTGCAAGGTTAGCTGCATCTATGTTTGTTAAAAGCAGTCAAGCGAATGCATTTTATTTTTCACTTTGCGTCTTTTATGTTGACTCTATTCTGTTCTATTGACACTTGTTCATTATGAAAAATTGCCTCTTTCACAAGTATATCCAGGCCTGGATACTACTGAAGACCCCCAAAGAAGACCATGTACAATTTATGATATGGTGCTCAATGTTCTAGAATCTATGGTGTACTTTTATACTGAGAGTTAACATTCAAATTGACTGTTACCAGCAGGATTGCTTTATAGCAACATTTACTGCTCGCTGGTAAGAAATCTAATGGCTTTACAAAGGTCATAACACATAGTTTTAAGTAATCTGATCTTCCACAAATCGCCATCTTGTACAGAATATGGCAATGACCTAGAGGGGAAATTCTTTGTCACATTTAGTTTTACAAGATGCCTATTTTATACATGAATATGGGTGTGGGATCAAAAAGAACAATAAGTGCTTTGAATACATTTGCAAGTGCAGTTTTAAACTAATGTATTGATAGGTATACTGAGACTGTTCTGTCTATTCTAGAACCCATCTGTCACTGTCTCTTGAAGCAGTATTTTCCATTTTTGTATCTTTGAAAAATAATGATAACCTGCTTTGCCCTTATGTTTTTTTGTTTTTTTTTTTTTTTAAAGATTTATTTATTTATTTGTTCATACAGAACTGGGGTACAGGCCAGAGGCTCAGGGGCGGTGAGAGGCTTCACCAGAGACAGAGTGGGGAGCAGAACAGGCAGATCAACGAAGTACACTGCTGAGGGGAGCAGCGGGCGGGGCAGGAGAGGTCTGCCACACCATGTGGTCACCTCCGGGGCAGGCGGGAATCGAACTCATGCGGAAGCGGCTTTAGATTCTCAGTGCTGTGCTTTAACCCGCTGCGCCACCAGGGAGGGCCTTGCCCTTATGTTTAATAAATGGAAAAGAATTGAGGGCTTTTAGTACATATGACAAAGTAAGATATATGCCATAGGCTAGTTAATTATCTGCTATCCAAGGGATAAAACTTATAACAAATTATACCAAAAAACTTATATTTTATGTTAATGGGAATTATGGAATCAGAAACCGTAAAGTAGATTTCAGTCTAGAACAACACACTTTATAACAAAAATAATTTAAACAAAAGTAAACTTTATCTTTACATTCTAGTGTAGTATTTAGAATTATCAATTTTGCAATTCAGCTATGCTTAGAATAGATTCAGTGCTACCAAATTATGTCTTTGAGCCTTTTAAAATGGACATATTATATTTAAATCTCTGTTCTCGATAATTTTTCCCTTATCTCCAACAGATTTTAGAAATTTAGAGTTCCCAGGAGGACGGTCACAACCCTGCAATGCCAGCAGATGTTTCTGTTTAATAGAGTTAAGTTAATTTATTATGAAATTCTGTTTCCTTTAAGTAAACACACACTGGAGGTTTGCCAGGAGGGTTGAAATCAATTCCTGCTGGGCCAGTAAGTAGGAGTTTATTCAGTAAGTGCTAGCCTGTTTTTTCTTGGAAAAAACAGTTGATTAAAGATTCTAACTTGCGGCCCTCCCTGGTGGCGCAGTGGGGTAGAGCACAGCACTGAGAAGCTAAAAGCCACTTCCACATAGGTTCGATCCCCACCTGCCCCTGAGGAGATCCACATGGCGCCGCAGACCTCTCCTGACCGGCCCGCTGCTCCCCTCAGCACTGTACTCCGTCGATCTGCCTGTTCTGCTCCCCACTCTGTCCCTGGTGAATCCTCTCACCCTCCGCATCTCTGGCCTGTACTCCAGTTCTGTATGAATAAATAAATAAATCTTTAAAAAAAAAAATCTAATTTGCAGTGTGAATCATGAGCTCCCAAGAAATTATTAATTAGCAATGATTAAGTCCAAAGCAACAAACACTTATAAAGATAGAGATTTTAAAGTTGAAAGAAACCTTAGACAGCTTTCTATTTAATCCTATCTTTTTTACAGATGGAAAAAACTCATCCCAGAGCAGCTAACTGGTCTCCCCAGGATTACAGTACCACAAAAGCTATTCTGACTGCAACTGTGTGATCCTCTCCATTGCTTTGAACTAATTTCTGAGACAACACTGTAGTTAATTTTTAGTCATCTTCACTAATATCCCTAAGTTAATCAGAAATATATTATGTATCTCTTAGATACTTATATATTTTAGGTAGATAAAATTAGTGGTGTCTATTTCCTATAGATCTTATTTATTAAAATTATATACAAAACCTCAAGTATATTGAAAAAGTTCATTCCTTTAAAGTGCACCACTCAGATAAATATGGCTCATATGTCTTTCTCCTTTAGCGCTGTCCACAAAGTAAACAAAACCGAAAACTTGTGAAGCCATACAACAAGGTAACTGGGGCTCATGTCCAATGGAATGAAGTGGCCAAGGCAGATATTTGTCATCAGCCTGTGTTTTTCATTTAGGTAATATTTTTGAGCTCTGGGAATATGTGAAGTATAAATAAGTACTGGATGAAACTGATAGAAAAGGCTGGCTCCCATTACATGAAGCTATTGTTCAGCCTATTCAACAAATACTGGAAATTGTTCTAGATGGTACAAGAACATCAAAACCCTTTGATTAAACTTGAAGGCAAGATGTAGAAGTCTTTAAAGTTCCCAAGGGATACAATAAGTATATGGAAAAAGCAAAACGAAGATCATTTGGGATTTGGAAAAGGCAATACCCATTATTTTCCACAGAGAACAAAAATTAGCATGTTTTATTATAGTTACCGCTCCCATTATTATACATCTAGCATCTTATAATATCCTTGAGAATCTTCTATATCTTAACCTTAGATGTTGCCTCCTCATTCTATTCTAGACATGGTAGATACTTGAAAAGCAGCTATTTAGTCAGCTGGCCTGTTAAAAACAATAGCTAGCCACATAGATGCCTAGTCAGATATGCACGTCTAGAAGACGATATCAAACATGGTGTTTCTTTTCTAACACATTTCAATAATTAATTCTCATTTCCACATCTACTGTCTTCATTTGATAAAAACTAATTTCAGATACAATTTAAATAATTCGAAGGATTGAGGAGTTGTATTACAAAGTATCAAGAAATGATAATTTGTAGTGTTCGTTTTTTTTTTTAAGATTTATTTATTTATTCATATAGAACTGGGGTACAGGCCAGAGATGCGGAGGGTGAGAGCATTCACCAGAGACAGAGTGGGATGCAGAACAGGCAGCTTGACCAAGTACACTGCTGAGGGGAGTAGCGGGCGGACCAGGAGAGGTCTGCCTGGCCATGTAGATCTCCTCAGGAGCAGGCGGAATCCAATTTATGCGGAAGTGGCTTAAGCTTCTCAGTGCAGTGCTTTAACCCCTGTGCCACAAGGGAGGGCCAATGTGTGTTCGTTTGTTTTTTAAAGATTTGTTTATTTATGCTTACAGAACTGGGGTACAGACCAGAGGTGTGGGGGGTGAGAGGATTCACCAGAGACAGAGTGGGAGCAGAACAGAAAGATTGACAAAGTACACTGCTGAGGGGAGCAGTGGGTGGGTCAAAAGAGGTCTGCCACGCCATGTGAGTCAGCTCCCTAGCTTGGGACTGAACTCGTGCTGCAATGGCTTCGGAGAGCTTCACAATGCGGTGCTTTAATCCATTGCACCACCAGGGAGAACCCTATTTGTTTTTTAAAAAGCCTTGACACATAGGTGCTTCTATCTGCCCACATGATTAGCAAGTTCATTGTTACCTAAACATCTTCACTTTCAAGACTCCAGGGAAGAAAACACTGTAAAACTTTGCTCTGACTCTGTCCTATTTGAGGACAGATCCCGTAACTCAAGGCAGAGTCCATGAGCTCAGTAAGAAAGAGTTTACAGTTTCCTTCCTCAAAAGGCTCCAAGATAAACAGAATAAATACCAGTTGGCCTGCCTGGTGGAGGGGGATGCCAGAGATAACTTCTGAGTTTGCTTCCAGCCCTGCATTTCTAGGAAATAGACAGTTAAGAACAACATAGATTTTATTATCATGACATCTCTGAAGTCATGACATATGGCCTATATTTAAAAATATAAATATTTGAATTTATAAAAAGTCAGGAGAATATTTTCTTAAAAGAGAAAAAAAATAAACATACCTACCTTCATTTAATAAACATTCATCAGGTCTTCTTTTAGTCTCCTCTTTTTCTTCAATTGATTTTTCCAATTTAATTATATAATATTGCCTTATCTTGTCATATGCAATAGATTTTTAAGTGAAGATGTTTAACTTGACACAAAGCTTTCACATCTTAGCATCCTATCAGCCATTCTGGGAATTTAGATCACTGATGGAGAAACACCTTTGACTTTGGCGGTCAAAGCTGGTCTGGTGGAAAATGTAAGAACTTTACTAGAAAAGGGAGTGCAACCAAACTCCAAAAATGATATAGGAGCGACACCTCTTCTGATTGGCGAGTGACTTTTCCCCCCTGGTTTTTAGATTGTGAGACAAATACTAATGTTTAGTAAGTTGGAAACCACTGTGTATTGGCTACAATTATGTGACCTCATTTCCTTTCATTGCCTGAATTCCTCTTCTAACACCATCTGACCTGTCCTATGAGTTTGTTTTCTCACACAAAGATAGAAGTCAAGTGTAAAAGATGGATATATCCTTCAGCACCTGCTAACCAGGAGGAAACTGAACTGGCAGTGGTATAAGGCCAGAAGTACAAGTTGTAAAAGAATATTCTTTAGGAGGGCTGTATGTATATATGACAAGTAGCCAGAAGAAAGAGGCAAAACGAAGATTCCAAGGAGACGTCAGAGCCAAAGGAGGCCAAAATGGAAGGAAGCAGAGCCAGCAGAGTCTAAGCACACCTACAATGCTGGGCAAAAGGTGATTCACGTGGTGGCCAAACAGGAAAGCTAAAAGAAATACCTGAAGGAAACACAAATCTGAAGAAATCACTTATCAACTTCTCAATTTTGTGTATACTGTTGCTTGTTGACCAAGAATCGGTTTGTAGAAACCCACAGAAAAGACATTTCACTCCAAGAGACCAAAGGTAACATTTCCTTTCTCTTAAGAATGTAAGATGGTGGAGTAAAGCTTTTGGACTTTGCCACCTGACATCTGTGGATGTAAATCCTAGCTATGATATTACAGTCATGGCCTCAGTTCCCTCAAGTGTAAAATAGAGATACAATGGGCCTTCCCTGGCGGTGCAACAGATTAGGATGCAGCACTGCAGCCACTTCAATGAGAGTTCAATCCCCAGCTCCAGAGGTGAGCCACATGGCACAGCAGACCTCTCCTGTCTCGCCCACTGCCCCCCTCAGCAGTGTACCTCATCAATCTGCCTGTTCTGATCCCCACTCTATCTCTAATGAATCCTCTCGCCGCCTCTGCACCTCTGCCTGTACCCCAGTTCTGTATGTATAAATAAGTAAATTTTAAAAAAATAGAAATACAATACCAGTATGCAGCATGGTCATAAAAACTTAGAGAAAAATCCAATATATAACCCCCCATGCTACATGACAAATGCTCAGAAGAGAAGAGTCATTTTGAATTTGTGTGTGGCAGTCAGGGAGACCTGGGATCATTTACCAGCTATCACAGAGGGAGAGAATAAACATCATATTTTTACTTTCTTAGTCTTCAGTCATCATCTTTGTCTTTATTTATGGAAAACCCTAAGATGGTCCAAACAAATCCCTTTTGCTCCCGCCAGAGTCCTTCTTCCTCATCAGCCATTTAGCCCTTTTTTGTGGTGCTTTGATGTAATGCAGTCACATCACACACTTATTTGCTGAGAGGGGAATACCTGATTTGTGGTGATCTGACAGTTACTGAGGGAATTTATTTTTTTTTGTACTTGGACTCACTGACTATCACCCTTCTGAAGCCGGTATCACCTTTCTCCAGTTGGATAGTCATAAGATTATCCCAGCCAGTGGGACGAAGGGTGCAGAGGAAGCCTGGAGAAGCTTCTGGCGAATGTCCAAGGTCCACTGCCTTTCATCTTTCCCCACAACCTATGCTATTAGCAGTTCCATTAATTTTACTTCATACAGTTTCTTTCTCACAAATCAATATAGATCATCTTCACTATCTCCTTCTTCAGTCTCACAATCCTTGTTCAGATACCTCTGAAAAATGTCTTCGCTGTGTGTTATGTGAATCAGAACTAATTCGAGCTAATAATAATTAAATTACATAAGGAAAAACACATATATGCAGAGGAGGAAGAAAATGAAAGAAATGTAAAGGAAAAAGGAAAAGTTCCAGCAAACTTTAAAATGTTCAAAAGTGCTTATAATCTATGCAAAGACTCCAATTTTTTTTCCATCTAATTCCCTAACTCTTCAAGTAAAGCTTGGTTCTCTTTAACCATTATTACTGAATGTATAAATCATTCAATTTGTATTTTGCTTAGGTATGTTACACAAATAGCAAGCCTTATTAGTTTTCACCGTTTCTGTCATCTTTTGTTTAAGAATGTGTAGTGTTTTAACTTGGGTGGGTACTCTGTAATTTACATTATTATTTCTATGGGAAACAAGGTATTTTTATTAGTCCCAAAATGTAAATACCAAATAAAGATTTGTTCTTAAAGCTATGTAAAGCGGAACATAATCCATATCTGCTGTTATTTTCAAAAGGAAGACAAATGTAGCTAATCAATATGATTCTGAGTCAGACAACAGGAAAACGAATTACTCAAGAAGAGGTTCAGCACTTTAAAACATTTCTTTTCCTATGTAGAAAATGGAAGCAACAATGGGAACCAGAAAGGTAAATGAGGACACACAGCTCTTAGTTCGTTTCACTTATTGATGTTTGCTCCGCCATAGCACCAGCTAGTTGAGGTAATTCGCTGTAATTAGAGCTGCTAGTGGCAGGTGAGCAATTCAGAAAAGGACCTCTGTCAACAGATGCAGATTCTACTTTGGACAGTGAGCAGGAGAAAAGCTGGAAACTCACTGCAGACGGCCTGCCTGTCTCCAAATGAAGTCGGCAGAATCATATTGATTAGCTACATTTGTCTTTCCCTCTTTCATGCCGGGTGGAGCCCTTTCCCTTAACTTGGCCAAGGTCCCTTCTGCATTCTCCTCCGAGCTCCACATGTTCTACCTGCTGCTACATTTGCTGCCTCTCCCAGCAAGGCCCAACTCTGAGCCACAGTAAGTCTCCCTTCAAAGTATCAGCTTCTTTCTGCATGGTAAACTCCACAGGTGAGATCCAAGTCTGTCTTTCTCCAGTTTTCCACAGAGCCTGGGCCTTTTCACAACACTGGCATATATTACTTTACTAAGTGAAGGAAGGAATTAAGCAAGTGTAACTGTATTTATTTCTTTGTATAGAGAGGTACTCTGCCCGCCTTAAGAAAAGTACAGCACTATGAAATTATCCACAGCAGTTGCAGCACAAGTTCTCCTGACCTGTCTGCTACTCCCCCCAACAGTTATTTCAGTCTATCTGCCTGTTCTGCTCCCCACTCTGTCTCTGGTGAATCCTCTCACATGTTCCCCACCCCTAACCACCCCCCACCTCTGGCCTGTACTCCAATTCTGTGTGCATAAATAAAAAATCTTTAAAAAAAAAAGATTTTACTTACTGATAAAAGTACATTTACCTATTCCAGAAGTATTTATATCCAAACCAAAGCAATCACTTAATAATCTAAAGGGGAGAGTTTTTTAACAGTGTGAGTTCAGCCATTAGAAGTAAAGCAAGGGGGAGAGAGACATCTGGTTTACATTAGTTGTCACATGGTTCACCTGTTTAGAACAGGCCTACCTACATTCTAAACATCCCTATCTGCTTGTTCTGCTCCCCACTCTGTCTCTGGTGAATCCTCTCACCTGTCTCCCACCTCTAGCCCCCCCCCTCCCCGGCCTGTACTCCAGTTCTGTGTGCTCCCATTAGGAGCATGGGAAAGAGAAATTAATTGATATTGCTATGTTGGGTATGTGGGAGTTGTGGGGGGGCCTGGGATCTTTGCAAATGGGGGTGGAAAACTTGATAAACATTATTTACTCATATGAATCCAGGACCCTAGAAGTGATGAAATGATATTAATATTTATTGAACTCCTAAATATGTTCTAAATGTGTTATAGACATTCATTAATTGATATAACTTATAATTGAAGGATGCTATTTTCATCTTATTGATGAACAAATTAATAATTAGAAAAAGAGCACATAACACTCTATCAATGGACACTATTTTCCATGAAACTCTTGTCTCTCCTCAAGTCAAGGGCTTAAGGAAAAGGCAGTATGATCTGGTACACTGACACTCCACATTCAAAATAGGAGCTATAGAAAAGGTATGCAAAAAAAAAAAAAAAAAAAACAAGAGTTATTTGTCTTAATATTCTTACTACTGACTATTCTTTTCAAATCATCTTCCAACTCTACCAAAGGGCTCCCACAACATGGCATCTGCACTCAGGAAACACGACACCAGACTGGCCAGCCCTGCCTCAAGCGACCGTCAGCAATGCATCATCCAACAAGACCACAAAGGTATCAGAGCTCTGCTACTAAGTCACGAAGTAGTGTCCACCTGAGGAGTATATATATCTGGGGATACACCTTTGAGTGTTTCCACCAAGGACGGTTGCCTGATGTTACAAAGGTGTGCAAGAAGGCACTGTACCCCCTGATGTTTCTTTTGCCTTTTGGGTCCCTTTCCTTTATTCCTCACTAGATCTTGTTCCTCTCCTGATCTTGTACCCTCTCCCTTCACAACTCCTCACAGACCCCCTTTCCATCCTTCAATTCAGCTGAACTCTATACATCATGATCTACAAATCTGCATCAGACCCTGCTGGCCCTCTCTATGACAGAGATGGCTGTAACAAAGATGGCTCACCTAGTCACGGCATCTTCTTCTCAAATGAATGCTTATTCTTTCACACTTTTGACATAATGCTTCCTCTCAATGAAGACTTCCCTTTACCTCTGTTTCATCACTTGCTTTTCCAAATCCAGTCAGTTGCCGGGTACTAGGGTGTTTCTTCTCATGTTGTGCTCCCTCTGGTCTGCATCCTCACATCTTCCCTAGACCATCACAGTGTATCCTAACCACTCTCCTGGTACCCAGCCTCCCCAATGGAGAATCTGTCCTACCTACTGTACCACACCCCCTCCTCCAAAGGGATGACTTTAATCATACAAACAATCCATACAATCCTCAGTAGCTCCCCTACTACTCACAGACCAGCCACAGGCCCCCATGCATCATCCTGAATTGTCTCTTCAGGTTTATCCCTCATGATCCTAGCATACCCTGTCCTCCAGCTAACACACCTGCCATGCCCATTTTCTGACACTAGCCTCGAGGTTTAAACTTTTGGTCCTCAGTGTTCTCATCTGTAATTAAAGGCAAGTACCATAAGGATCTTTTGTGAGAGAAAAGGATAGCTTTACTTAGGCCCCTAAATGGCAACTTTTTTTTCTATGAACTGGGGTACAGGTCAAAGCTGCAGGGGTGGTGAGAGGCTTCACCAGAGGCAAAGTCGGGAGCAGAACAGGCAGATCTACTGAAATACACAGGCAGATCTACTGAAATACACTGCCTAAGGGAGCAGTAGGTGGATCAGGAATGGCCTGCCACACCATGTGGGTCACCTCCCTGGCCAGGGATAGAACTCGCAGTGAAGCAGCTATGGGCAAGTTTCAAAGTGCTGTGATTTAACCTGTTGCACCACCAGGGAGGGCCTGCAACCTCTTAAATATCAAATAAACCCCATGATACAAGGGTTTGTGTTAGCCTGGTTAACAGTTGAGATGGAGATTTCACAGAAGTCATTAGCTTGCCCAAAGCTGTTTCTGTCAGCAGCAGAACCGTATTCAAATACAAACTGCTTTCCCTACATGCTGCCTTCTGGTCTGCTGTCAGTTGACTTAGACAGTTACAAAGATAGAGGTAGAGCTTTGTTATATATATATCAAAGATATTTTGTTTCATTTCCTCTTTGAGCTTCTTAAGAGAGATTTATTCACTTTAGGATCTTCTGCTGGATAACATACAGTGTTTGCACCTAGAAAATAATTGATCAATATTTGTTGAAATGAAATCAAGTCTTAATTGTCATTTTTATATGTAAGGATCTAAGGAGCCCTTTTACTGAGACCTTTGTTGATCTTAGAAATTGACCTATTCATTTCTTAGCTGATCTTGTGATGCACAAATTTTCCAATAACATAAAACATGCTGCATGGTTGTTTAGTAAAAATACTGAGAATGTAGATGTTTCTAATTTGTAATAAAGCCCTCACAAAAAAAGGAAAACAACAGGTTTTTTTTTAAAAGATTTATTTATTTATTCATACAGAACTGGGGTGCAGGCCAGAGATGCTGGGGGTGAGAGGATTCACCAGAGACAGAGTAGGGAGCAGAACAGACAGATCAACGAAGTACACTGCTGAGGTACACTGCTGAGGGGAGCAGCGGGCGGGTCAAGAGAGGTCTGCCTCGCCATGTGGCTCTCCTCCAGGGCAGGCGTGGATCGAACTCATGCGGAAGTGGCTTAAGCTTCTTAGTGCAGTGCTTTAACCCGCTGCGCCACCAGGGAGGGCCACAACAGGTTTTTTTTTTTTTTTTTTTTTTTTAAGATTTATTTATTTGTTCATACAGAACTGGGGTACAGGCCAGAGGCTCAGGGGTGGCGAGAGGCTTCACCAGAGACAGAGCGGGGAACAGAACAGGCAGATCGACGAAGTACACTGCTGAGGGGAGCAGCAGGCAGGTCAGGAGAGGTCTGCCACGTCATGTGGTCACCTCCAGGGCAGGCGGGAATCGAACTTATGCGGAAGTGGTTTTAGCTTCTCAGTGCTGTGCTTTAACCCGCTGTGCCACCGGGGAGGGCCCACACAGGTTATTTTTAAGGGAACTCCTTGACAACCCACGCAGCATGCCGCATGTATCTTATTACCAGGCAGTGAAGTATCTGTTCTGGCAGATGATAGGTCATCTCTATTGTTTGAGGCAGCAAAGGGGGCAATTCAAAGTAATTTTGATTGAATTTCTTTCCTGCTGAAATATGAAGGAAGTGGAACTGTGCCTAACATACAGTTCATCTTTTTATTCACCGAGCGGCCTATAAGGCACCTTACCTGTGAGTAATAAGTCACCGAATGATTATCTTCCATTGGAAAAACAAAATTGTATATACAGAGTTTTATAAACTACCCCCCAAATTCAAAAAGAAGATGAGCAGAAAGCTCACAAACTTCGCTTATTTGAGTATTTGCTTGATATTTCCCTTTCTTTTTATTGTCTTATGTTTTATTAAACATTTTCCACATTAAACAAACATTAGTTTTGTAGAGAAATGTCTTTGTTTTAGAAGAAGCTGTAAGTGAGAATTCTACACAAGCCACCCAAATGTGCTTTTTTTTTTAATGTGTTTAACAAAATGCTACAGATTTCAGAATAATTTTTCTCTTGACAAAGATTTTATGGCAAAACTTTCAATTATGTGCCATCACCTATGGATATTATAGTGTAACTGCAAATTTATACTTGAATAGAAAAATTTCATTTTAAATGTACTTATTCAAAATAAAACCTGATAGATTTTCAATTACAATATGTGCCACAACTAACACATCAATAAAATCCTATAATCATTATATTAAACTATGCACCATGACAATATGAGAGTATGGTTTGAGGCAATTACACATATTTCATATACTGCAAAACTTTGAAACACTTAGGTTTTATCACTCTAAGTGGCCACATTGGCTACGTTAAGTGACCAATGACGTATAATTGACGCTAAGTGACATGCTGTTAAAGTTTACCTGGCCTTCTTCCCAGTGTTCATAAATTCACACATGGTAGCTTTGAATTAGGTACAAGAGATCAAATTATCCTTGCCTGTGATTCACTACACGTCTAGTTGATCAGGCAAGTGTGAAATTCACAACTTTATAACAGGCACTTAGATACTTCAGCTGTGGTTAGTTATCTCAGTTGGACTGAAGTAAGGTTAATGGAATAACAACGATTCATTTTGTGATTAATAATTCAATTGCAGGCCTTCCGTGGTGGCACAGTGGGTTAGAGCACAGCACTAAGAGGCTAAAGCCACTTCAGCATGAGTTTGATCCCCGCTTACCACGGAGGTGACCCACATGGTGCGGCAGACCTCTCCTGGCCTGCCCACTGCTCCCCTTAGCCCTGCACCTCTGGCCTATATCTGAGTTCTGTATGCATAAATAAATAAATAAATCTTTGAAAATAATAATAATTCAATTTCAGGTCCTCTCTAGTGGTGCAACAGGTTAGGGCACAGCACTGCAAGCAAGCTGCAACTGCTTCAGTGTAAGTACAAACCCCAGCCCTGAAGGTGACCCACACGGTGCAACAGTATATTTCATCGATCTGCAATTCTGCTCCCCACTCTGTCTCTGGTGAATCCCCTCACACCACCCCTGCACCTCGGCCTGTACCCCAATCTGTATGCATAAATAAATAAATCTTTAAAATAATTAAATAATTCATTTGCAAGTTTTGTAGAAGTAGAGAGGTGATATATGGACAATATTAAAGGATAGAGTGCTCAGAAAGTAATGAAAGAAAGGGATGAGAGAGAAGTAATGAATGAGAATTCAAATGGTCTAAATTCCAGTCCTTAATCAACATCTGTCTGTGTGACATTGAACAGGTCATTTTACCTCTCCAGACTTCATATTGCTCTTCTTCTTCTTTTTTTTTTTTTTAAGATTTATTTATTTATGCTCACAGAACTGGGATACAGGCCAAAGGTGTGGTGGGTGAGAGAATTCACCAGAGACAGAGTGGGGAACAGAATAGTCAGATCTACTGAAATACACTGCTGAGGGGAGCAGTGGGCAGGTCAGGAGAGGTCTACTGTGCCATGTGGGTCAGCTCACTGGCTGGGGATGGAACTCCTGATGTAGTGGCTTTGGAGAGCTTATCATAGTGTGGTGCTTTAACCCATTGCACCACTAGGGAGAGCCCATATGTTACTCTTCTTTTAAATGAGGAGTTTGAACTGAGTCATGTCCAAGTTCTCTCCCAGGTCTGTCTTCCAATGATTTCATGATTCTAATGGTCAAGCATCCTACCATGATAGCAGATGAATTTACATTTCTTTTTTACTTTTACTTAAATGGCCAGCACTGGTTGATTCTTCAGAAAGGAATTACAAGATCAGACCATTCCTGAAGAACCAAAATTCTCAGACTAAATATACAAGAACCAGTATGTTGCCTAGGAATATTTAGAATTGGAAGCTGAATCAAAATCAGTCTACCTACTAAGCTGAATAGTGATAGTTAATAGGCAATGTTTTGTACAAGATTATCTAGGGACAATATAGGAAACAATAAAACTGCATTCACTTGTCTAGTGAAGAAGCTGCTTTACTTCATTTCTTGATTTTCATCACGCTATGTGTTACTTGTCTTTTTTTTTTTTTTTTTTTTTTTTTTTTTTTTTTTTTTTTTTTTAATGCACTGACCTATCTTATCCCAGTAACATCTAAAAATTCTATCCAGGGAAGTGGACTATTATCAGTTCATTCAGCAACAGGTAGACAACATGTACAGTGCCTATGACTGCTCATTGAAAATGATTTTGATATCAGTTCCCTGCTTGCTGACCACATTTCTAAGCTCTACGGTGACAAAAGGAAGACTGTCCTATATACTGCTATTTCAAACATGATATCCATTGCATCCAAGCCCTGGATGCTGTGCAGAACCTAACCTAGACCCCCTCAACTGTGTACTTGAGGCAGTAAAAGCCAACAATCATGAAATTGTCTGACTGCTTCTCTCCCATGGAGCTAATATCAGTGGCTATTTTATGCCCATAAGTAACATACATTTCTGCAGTGCCATCATTATGCCCTCAATGATGAGGCTGTTGCTGAGAAACGGTTAGCAAGTGGAGATACGCTTTGACTGCATGCATGGAGACATATTTGGAAATTTGTTTGTGTGGCCACAGAGAAGATATTACCACATGGACACCTTGTATCATAAAAGATAACCCGGTGAGTTACATCCTTTTCTTCTTCATATTGGGTCAATATCCCACCTTTCACCCATTTGACAATATTACAAGAAAACTCAGTGCTAACTTTTCTATTTTCTTGTCCTTGAAATTTTGTTGGCAATGCTATGAGGATGTGTAAAATCAAGCCAAAAAAATAAAAAGTGATGTTTATTTTTCTTGAATTGGGAGCTAACTATGGAAGAATTTGAAAGGGTACATAATTAATAACTCATACTTTTTTCATGAAATGTTGAGGAAAGATGAATAGAAACATGATTCTTCCATGTTATGGTCACTATAATCACATAGTTTCAGAAAAACATGCAACAGATTTATTTTTATTTTTGTTCATTACAAAGAGAGTTCTTTTATTTTCTATAAAAAGATGAAGATTACTTTTTCTTAACAAAATGGTGTGCTTATGTATAGGGTATATTAAAAATTCTATTAAATTAAATTTTTATCAGTTTTCTCAGTTCTGTGAGGCTATTACAGTTCCTTTGGATAAAGCACATTGTTGGCAGCTAGAATAGATCATATAGAATAGACATCCCTTTGTGTGCTAACTGAAATCCATACTAGAAGTCCAGAGAGAATGGCCAGAAATATGTCAAATACTACCTAAAAAAAATTTTGTCTACAATTTTTTTATTATGTATAGAAGTTTTTTAATGTCACCTTTGATAATTTTTCAATAATGCTTTATTCCCTGAATTATGTTTTTAAAAATCATCCTTTACATTTCTTCTTATACAAGATAAAAATTAGGGGGCTTTTCTTGGTATTTTCCAACTTTTAAAATATATAACATGTAATGCTAGCACTATGTTAATATTCTGACTATAACTCATTTTGATGAGTTTGTAATATAGAGTTATATAGATTATAGTCTCTATGCAACATGAATATATAAAACACATCTTAAAATACACCTTACAGAGTTACATATCTTCATGCTTGCTTTTACAAATAAAAAACTAAGGCTAAGGAGAATTACAAAACAGCCTAGACCCTATGAATTTTTTTACTCTGACCAGTCAATGCTGTCTGTGTGCTTGTACTGGGAAAAAGTGATCAATTTGACAACTTTATTTTTTCCACCTTTTTTTGTTTTTGAGGTAACTTTGGTTTATAACACTGTACATTTAAGATATGGGATCACACCTTCTGAGATGCCTGTCACACCACATCCATCACTAAGGCATCGTCCACTGTGTCCTCTCCCTAGCTTGCCACCCATTATAGTTTTCAGAATACTATAATTTATTATTGGCTTGGTTTTGCTTGACTTTCTGTTTTTTCTTAAGTAATTCTTTTCCTGTGCTAAGGTACTTGAGTTGTTTTTTTGTTTAATGATACTTTTCTAAAAACTGAGTCAATATTGGTTTAACACTGTACATGATTTAGGGGAATAATCTTGTACCTCTTTAGATGTCGCCATCCTATCTATACCCACCACTGAAACACCCACATTGCCTAAGAATAAAGGGAGGAAATTGTATGTCGTTTCCGTCACACCTTTTTACAAGTAGAATAGCTGATTGTTATGAGTACAGTTAACCACTGGATGTCAGGATTCCTTCAAGTATCATCTGTATTTTCCAGGCAGTGTATTTGTTAAGCATGAAAATAAAATGTTAATTTCTTTAAAAGGTGGGTTCATTTTGCCTGTTCAGGTGACAGTAGTTTTGCATCAATCATTTTTGAAAATTTTGAAAACCATTTTAATTTTTTAAGAAAGACAACATGAATGTTTATATCAAACAAAACAGGAAATGTGCCCCTTTTTTTCTTATTCAGTAGAATGATAGTTCACATCACTGAATGGTTTTAATGTATCAATTATGTCAGAATATTTTACATGGATTAATGTTTGATCTCCAAACAACCTTGTGAGATAGGTAACAGTGTTTCCACGTGTCATGCGCAAGAATACTGACTGGGTGGAAGTCAAGAAACTAGTCCAAGGTCACTGAGTGGCAGAGTCAGAATTCAATCCAGAACTGGATCCAAAGCCCATATCTAAGTCCCCATGCTCCGCTGGCCCCTCTAGCACATATTTCTTGAATAACTTATTAGTGGTATAACTGTGGTATTGAGTTGAAGATAAAGACTGACATCAGATATTTGAGTAGTCTTGGATTATTTTGGAAAACATAACATATTTAAGGATCTATCATATGTAATATGGACTCATGGATATATGGAGTCATTTGCAGCAAATGTTTTCCAAATAATTATTCATCAGAAAGATTAGTAGAAGTGAGAAGAAATGTATGTCCATTCTAAAAGTAAATAAATAAATAGATGTGAGCTTTGAATATCTTATATCAAGCCATTCATTTAATATATTCTAGTTGAATATCTATATGAATCAGACGCTTCCTGACACAGGATCAGCCTAAGTGACTGTCTTCATGGTGCCACAGTCAGAGGAATGGTCTGGAAAGCTTACTTACAAATTTAATTTTTTTTTTATGCATTCAGAACTGGAGTACAGACCAGAGGTGCAGGGGCAGTGAGAGGATTCCCCAGAGACAGAGTGGGGAGCAGAACAGGCCAACTGACGAAATACATTTCTGAGAGGAGCAGCGAGCACGTCAGGAGAGGTCTGCTACGTCATATGGGTCATCTCCGGGGTGAATATCAAACTCATGCTGAAATAGCTTTAGCTTCCTAGTGCTGTGCTTTAATCCTCTGTGCCACCAGGGAGGACTACAATTTGAATTCTACTTAGTAGCCAGTTGTTAACATGGCATAACAGTTTATCAAAATGATACTATTAGTGTTATTCTAGAACTGTCTGTATCTCCTAGGTCAATCCACTAATGTTGTTTATATTTTTACTTATTTTACACCCATTTATTTGAGAGAAACCTTGCTCATTAAAGCATTTGTGCTGGTGAAAATTCCAAGACTCATGGGACTCCAATGACTCTTCCAGCCAGCCTCGATAGAGAAGCTTCTACTACCACCATCCATTCAAAGATACATCTTATCTAAAAAGTATGATCTCTATGGACAAGAGCTAAAATTTCCATAATTTTAAACTAATTTCATGGAATCATTTTACATCCTTAAGTGTATTTAAATCCATTTATGTGACAACTGGATCGTGTAGCCTTATAAGAACACTACGTTTCACATCTTTAAGAACAATATGTGATTTTTTTAAGCTGGTCAATATTTTGCAGTTGAATTTTGACTTGCAACAAGTCTTCAAACTCTGCCTATCAAATGACTCCTACATTTCTGTGAACACATCTCTCCTGTGTTTACAAAATAGCCACTTGCTCATATCCACAAAATAGTCACTTGCTCATATCCGTATCTCCAGGCACTTACTGGCCTACTCCTTTCCTTTCTTTTATAACCACACTGTGTAAAAGAGTTGCTCCTGTCTGCAAATACACTCACTGAAACCTGGCTTCCCTTCCCAACATCCTCTAGTTGCTAATCGAACGAGCATTCTTCAAACTTTCAATTATCTCTACAGCACCAAGCACCCACTTTTAAGTGGCCTTCCCTCGGTTTTCCCGATTCTCTGCTCTCTTGATTCTCCTCCCACATCCCTGACTGTTCGATCTCTGTCTGCTTTCGACATTGCTCCTCTGCTGCCAACCTTTATCATGAACTAAGCCCTCTTCTCTTCTTATGCGACGTTCTCTGGGAAATTTGACTCATGACCATGGTCTCAGTTATTACCTATATGATATAGACTATAAAATGTATATCCAAAGATGAATTCTTTCTCTCGTGTGTTTCACACCTAGGTAGACATTTGCTCTAAGGGACATTTCAACTTAAAAACACCTCAAATTCATCATATCCCCGCATGAACTCAGTTCCTTTCTTCAAAACAGCCTCCTTCCCTTATACTTTCTAAGTCAGCAGCCAAATTAGCAACTTAATTTCTCTTCACAAAAGTATGTACATCAACCTTAAGATTTCACTTCCCTTTCCAAATATAATAAATCATCAAACTCTTATAATTTTATCTTTTGAAGTTACAATTTCCTTCTTCTCCATCTCACTGACTAAGCCCTGATTCCATCTATTATCTCCTTTTCCTTGGGGTCCTGCTGAATCTCATCTACATTCTAAACATAACATCCCAGAATGATCATTTACAAATATCAGCAGAATTTCACTCCCTGTTTGAAATCATTCCCACTGCTCTTAGGATAAAGTCCAAAGTTTCACATGGCCTCTGGTGATCTAACTGTTTTTGTCTTTAGCTTTATCTCAAAATCCCTTTCACTTCTCCCCCTCAACCATGTCAAATACCTTTTAGGAATTTATTCTTTGAGTCATGAATCTCGGATTTTCAGATTTCATATAGCATTTTTTTTATGTTTTGCTAAGGGTTGTCAATTACATATATATAATTTACTATCAAAGTCATTTCATCAAAAAAGGAACCATTTTAATGCCAGAATATAAAATGGCTTTAAACTTATTAAAATTGAGTGACTTTAGCTTTGAAAAGACCTACCACAGTCTTCATTTCCTCGTTGACCAGTGCAAATTTCATTCTGGTACAAGTCTCCAAGGTGCTTTGTTTGGGAATCACTGCTGTAGGATAGACCATGTTCACTTACACGGCAAGGTCTGAGTTTCTCCTCCCTCTGCCTGAAATCCTTTCTTTTTCTCCTTTCTCTCTTCACCTCATCAGTCCCCCTTTAACCTACAGCTTTCAGCTGAAATGGGAGGGCCCCTGCTCAGCACAGCTGTTGCTGTTATACATGTCTCAGTTCTCACTGGTCTGCCCTACGAGCCGTAAGCTCTATGAGGGCAGCTATGTCTGCTATAATTCCCAACATTTCTTAGAGTCACTAGAATCCCGGGAGCATAGAATTCAATAATTATTTGTTGAGTGTATTGAATGACACCCAGATAAAAGTAATCAGTGATCTTGTTACAGGGCTGGAGAGGGACACCACTGAGCCCCCAAACCTGTCTGCTCTAAATAGGTTCTGCCACCCACTGCATCAAGACAAGACATAAAGACTTTAATGAAGAGGAATTTTAATACAGTGAGTATACAGTACAGAAGACAAAGAATATAATTTCTAAATCCAACACCTGAATTTACCCATCCCCTCATGGGCAAAAGTCCACTCAAAAGGGATTGGCCCAAAGCAAGGCCTGAAAGCCCACCACAAGACTAAAGCACCTTCTGGCCGGGACCCATAGAACAGGATCAGAAATGGCCAGACAAGTCTGAGAGGAAAAGAGCACAATCAAAATCAATATAAACACTGCCATAGTCACCTCCCCACGGGTCTCTCACCCACATCTGTTTCAACCAGTCCAGGGCCAAGAAACAAGCACGGTTTCTTCATCACATGCTCGCTGCTCCATGTAGCTTCCTCAGGTCTCCTTCTGGCCCTCCATCCTGCTTCCTTCCTCTTCAGATTCCTTCTCTTCTCTCCTTTTCTCTGCTCAGCTCCACCCTCCTTCTGGGTGGGGCAGGGAACCTGGAACTTCCCCTTTTCCAGGGGACCACCCTGTTACAAGCTCATGGTAAAATGAGTTTTCAGTCTCTGAATTGGCTGTGCAATCTAAACAATGTGATTACCTTTTTTTTATTTTGTTAATGTATTTTTCCTATATTTATTTTTAATCTTAAGTGTTACTGTCTCCTTTCAATTAACATCTCACTGATCTGTACATTTTCCCAGGGACATTAAGTGTTATCTATAAAACTTAAATAAGTATTTTTTTAAAATTTCATAATTAGAGCAATAATTTTAGTTTCTTATAGTTCTTAGAGGATACATTTTCATATAAATTAAACTTTAATAGATTTAATTTGAATTATAATGTTTTGGGTGTAGGATTTCATGATTCCTCTGTTGCTATCTAATTATAGGCGAAATGTGTTGTTAATTACAAATATTTCTCTAAATAAATAAAACATGTTAAATAAACTGAAGATTTCACACTTTCTTTAATAAATTTTTATGTAAACCTATTCAAGATACTTTGAATAGTAAATAAAACTCTAGTACACTTAAGTTTTGGTATTTTCTCTGATGTATTTTGTGCAAATATATTTGAAAAATTCTTGAATGTGAACATATGAATTTAATGCCTATGCTAAAGGTTCTGAAGTGGTTCTTTTGGTATTTGTGAACAAAAGAAAATATATCCTATGAAACTGAGGCAACCTCTGTACCCAAAGTGGGTTTGAGCTGTATCTTACCATATCTTAAACTTTTCTACCAATGTTTTTGCTTTTGAGAGGGTTGGATGGTGAGATTAATTTATTCTTAATAAGGATTCTGCTTCTTCTGGGAAGTGTGACTTATCAGGGAGAGGATAACAGCCATTCCTCCCCAATCAGACTTACTTACAGGAGATGCCATTCTTCAGCGTGGCCTATTTAACCAGGTGGAATTGACATGATAGAGTTCTGGTGACATTTTTCCATGCTACCAGCATGACCACGACTGTTTTGATCACTGTGTCCTTTGTTTTGTATCATACAGAGAGAGTGAATGGAAAGAAACAGAAGTTGAGTGAGTTTTGTTGGATTTTTTCAATAGACAGTCTTCAAATAGTATTTCCTTTACCAACTTAAAATAATTTCAATAAGCACATTGAAATCAAGTGCTTCCTGAAAAATATGGTTAAATCATTTCAGTTAAACATAGGATATGTTTCCAGGCAGTAAGTTGGCAATGTAGAAAATATGAAAATGATGTATAAATGTTGCACAGCAAATATTCAGACAGTACTCCCTTTATTGCAGGTTTTGAAAAGTTAGTACACATGGGTCAGATAGTGCAGCTGTTAAAAAAAAAATAGGGTCTTCTATGGTCCAGAGAAACACTTAAGCCTTGTCACTGACTTTTACCAGATATTCCTACACAAATTTTGATTTAAAATAGCATTACTCTTGTGTATATAGTCACCTTTAAATCAGAAATTATTCAGAACACATTAAAAACTCTAAGCAACTTAGTAGGACAAAATGAACAGTACATGTATATACTCATCCTTGTATACACACAGAACATATATAAATCCAATATACACGTATGGATTTATGATAATGTGACATTTTAGCAATTCTATATAAGCAGTGGGCAACAACATTGACACCAGAGTCCCACTGACCTGAGCTTCTACCAGGTTCCACCAATTATTAGCTACTTGATTCTGAGCAAGATTTGAGATAAGTAAATGTTTTGTGAAGATATGAAAAATATTGTCAGAGATGCATAACACTATCACTACTAAATATTTGAAGAAAACAGCAAAGAACTGTCCGTAGTACCTATAACCTCTACGATTGCCTTTGGCTAGTAAAGCCCCAACCAACTGTTGAAAGAGGAAAAGAACTTCTCAGAGGAGAAGGTGTGTAGGAGTAGACTTATTTGACCTCAGTGGTCTGTGTTTTGTAATCTCAGGGAGTTGTAGAGATGTCTGGGGATTTGCTGTTTTCAGAAGGAGACAGTCTCGTAATTTGAACTGAGCAGGGAGGGGGAGGGCCGGGAGAGTCTGAGTTCAAATGTCGGCTTGGCGGGTGGTTCCACCAGGGGCACTTGACAGGGACTCACATTCTGTGCCTCAGGTACTGGGAATAGCTCTTTCTCCTGCCTTGGAAATCTTCCATCTTGGAATCTCCCAGTGAGATTCAGGGTAAAATGACTCAGAAGGAGCCCATAATGTAGAATAAATTATGTGTGTAGAGGGTGCTAAATGTGATACTTACACCAGTATCTGATTCATTGTGTTTGAAACAAAGTCTTCTGGCTTCTGAAGGAGGACATTTTTTTATGCTTGTGGAAATCAAATTACCATACATGACAATCAGCCATAAATAATTTATGTTCCTAAACGTTCAAATACCCCAAGAGGGCTAGCTACCTTAATTAATTTAACACTATTTCAGTGAAATGACCATTTTAATCACTTTTGGTTAGAAGGTAGTAGCACTTACTTAGACTTGACCCACTGGAGATCCCTCAGCTGGACTCAACTCTGCACCAGTCCCCTTGCTGGGGTCCCAAGAGGCGAAACTGAATCTGGGGG